GCTGAAATCAATTCCCCACCCCCACAAATATGTTGGGTGTTGCTGCTGCATCTGGTGTGTCTTGATTCTCCTCTTTGCCAAAGCAGAGTCCCACTTCACACCATAGAGTGGGGTATAAACAATACCATAAGCATTCATTTCCAGCAGGCACTGGATTAGAACTGATCTATTTCTATTGGCCAGCATTAGTACTTATCTAATTCTGGAGTTCTTGACAATGAAGGTGCAAATAAAAAAAACATAAAGGAAAACGTTTATTTTATAAAATATCTAAAATTCAATGCAAAATGTTTGACCGGATAGAGGATTGATAAAGAAAGGCTCTCGTGTTGGTAGTCACTCAACAACTGCCTTTGGGTCTCTGGGGGGATCAATGGACAATGCCCTTTAAAGTCTAATGTAATCATCATGATCTGTGAAATGCTGGTCAGTTTTCAACATGTCTTTGACTTCACCTTGGGTCACCTTCTATCATCCCACAGCCCTGATCTTGCTCCAACCTCAGGCTGCTGTGCACTCTTTGTAAAGTTCTTTGAGATGTTCTCCACATGTGAAAGACTCTGGTTAAGCATGAATTGTTAGCCATTATTGAATATTGTTATTTTAAGAACGTATTCTGCAACAATCAATTTTGTGCTCAACTCCACTGTTCAGAACAGCAGTGTTCTTCACGAGTGCCAGCAAGATACAATACGTGTTGGTCTTTAATCGGTTGAGTGGGCAGAACTGATGCCCCCATTCTTTTGTAAGCATTCTGAAATGTGCAACTCTACACTGTCTGACCCCTGACTCTTAAAACAGAGGAGAAAAACACAACAATTTTCTTCTCACATCAGCCTGTTACAGAAATTGTGTGGTCAAAAACTCAATAATTATTATGCTGCACTACAGCATTGAAGAAAGATTTATAGAGTAGCAACAGTATCAGTGCTAAATCCAATCAGAGCTTCATGGTTTTAGGAGTGCATTCACTGTTCACGTTGTATTAAATTAAAATGAAATGGTTCCCAGGGTATTTGCAGCATGCAGATACCACATTTTTTTCCAAGTCAGCCAGTTCTATGTACTTTTACTGAATGCAGCATAATTGAACTCACTACTCGCTGAGTAAGGCTTTAAATGTAAATGGAATTCATCATAAAAGCACTTTCCATTCTGATTAAGAACATTTATACTTTACTGTTAATGGGTTCAGATGCAAGAATCAGAATAGAATTTTTATGTCCAATATTTTATATGGAAACCATTACTAAGAATATGAATAGAATGTTCACTTGTTTCAACAACAATGACAAATTACATTTATACAAGTGCCTCTCACAATGAGAAGACATCTTAAATGTTTCACACAACTGACTGGGGCTATTAATAGAGTCATAAGTGTGTGGTAGATCCAAGCTGGCAGTATTTGTGAATGTTATATTTTTCTCACTTAGGAATATGTTGCCTAATGTTATTGTTTGTAGCAATGTTTACAATCCAATTCCAGAATGTACGTAACAACTGAAAAGCTTGCTCTTCTAGGTTGTTTCCAGGCGAGTACATTATCTTTGTTGCTATCTTAATATTTGTTTGCTATTATGCAATACCGTAAAAATGTTTTTCTGTGAGTTTCCAATGGTGAGTATACATCAAGGTTAGAAAAAGGTATGTGAACTGTGTCAACTACTTGCCGTGAACTGCTGTAAAGATTGTAGTTATATTCACTATGATCTTGTGATTTGGGATATTTTCAGATGGCAAAAATGATTACCCAGCAGGACCCATCTAGAATGAAAATTGCATGAAAATCATATAATTGAGACCATTCCAATGTGCTATCCTGTGTGAAGGGCACTTTATAAATGCAAGTAGCTGTTATTTCACTGATTATTCTATTATAATTTGTGTTGTACATAGAATTTCTCTATGTGTTTGGCCTCACCTCAGTTTGCAGTAATTAATCCTTCAGTGTAATCAATTATCTGGAGTCAACCAATACAATTGACATTAAAGAATTCAATACTAAATAAAGTCTCAAAATGAACGAATAAAACAGTGTAATTTAAAAAATAGCAAAACGCAAGCATGCTTGTTATATACCCAATCCTGAAATATGCTATTTTACATTTATAAATTCCCAGGCAGAACAAAACCTTTGGCAAGTTTCCTTAGTCCACACACCTCTGTTTGTCTAGCAGTAAATAGGAACCAAGTTGTTAATCGATTGGCGGATCGCTTTCTGGGGATAATAATACCTCCCCCCAAAAACGTTGGGTCACTCAATCCACGACTGTTTGTGGGAAGCTGCTGTGTGCAATTGGCTACCACATTTTGCTCATAAAATATACAGTCAATTCACTTTACAGTATATTCTGTGAAGTACTTTGAGACATCTCAATGATGTGATAAGGTGCTGTATCAAATGCAACGATTATTATTGTTATACGTATATTATCTCTATATCCCTTCTGGAATTCCCTGTATCCTAAAGGCATTCTCATTTTCTAGCTTGTCTCACACTAATCCCTTGGTTACCTTAATTTGTTTCTTCCCCTTATATCATGATGTCTGGTATTTCTCATGAAACATTTTTGTTTGGTGCTGCTATCATTTTTAATCTCTTCTCTTCCAGAGTTATCCTGATCAGTGATGCATGCCATGTCCATGTGTTTCACAGTTGACCTGAAGTAAGCTGTCAATTTCTACTGCGCTTTCTCTCTCCAGCATTCAAGCTCGCCTGTAGAAATGTACTGGTGCTGTGGAACATGTACCAGAAACTGCTATCTCTGTAATTCATCCATGTTAGAGCAGTATGACCTCATTGTTTTACTTCCTGAAAATCTGCAGAGAAACTCAGTTTAGTTTTGCCCGTGTGAAGTATAACAGTCATAAAAACACAAATGCCTTCATTCATTGACTGACTGACTAACCCCACAAAGACCTAACTCAGGACTACATCAGAACGAATGGATAATAAGCCAACTGGGGTGACAAAGCCCATTCGCAAAGATCTTGTGACACTGCAAAACCCTTTACAACCTACGTGCAAATTGTTTGTGCAGTATATTTTAGGAAATATGATATTTTTTCATAGTGTCTCATGTCTGGGTATAATGTAACATGCTGGCATTTGAATCTTGTGGAAATTTATGCATTCTACATTCCTCACACCCGTCCCCCCCATCCCGCAATGAACCAAGTAAATATATATTCCTTTCTTGTGGTTTTAGCTTACTTCTTTTGGCACATAAAACAGTTGGAAAGCTTGCTTTCAGGTAGATTTTTACAGCAAGATAACAGAGAACTATGGGGGTATCGTCACTGTCTAATATGTCATAGTGCTTCTGTTCAAAGGCTAATTGAGGCTTCAGGGTAAACCTAGTGCACCATGTTTTATGTGTAGGGTTATCCATGTTAAACAATTAAAAAAACAGTGCCAAGGAATGGTATGCGGCAGAGTGGGCTTGATGGGGCAAATGCTGTGCTCTTGTTCCTAAATTTCTATGTCATCTAATGTAGTGCTACTACACTCTGACATATGGAGCTTAATGAAAATGACTACTTCTTTTCCGAAGATTTTAGGAAAAGAATCGTGATAATATCCACTTCATTCTGTCAATGTAAAGCTGATTTTATTCTTTGCTTCTCCTGGCAATGAGTCCCTGTAGTACAGATCAAGAAAGCTCTTGCATTCCTGACTGTCAAGTCAATACATAACACACAGTGAAAGCAACCATGCCCACATGCCCACAATTTCCGCATGAGATAGTGTGCCACACACAATGCACTTCTTTAGTGTGGTAGGAGAAGTCAGTCATTCCTGATCCTCTGTGCCAGCACTCAAAGCCCACACCACTAGGGGAAGATCCTATAATAAGGAGTTGGTGTCAGATCTGACTACCCATCTGAGACAACATATCATCCATATCTTCCTGCCGCTGGATGCATTGAAAACCTATCTAGCTTCTCCTGCTATTTAATTATCATAGATTGAGTCAAAGAACATTAATCTTTTCTTACACCATTTGGAACACAATTAATTAGAGAAATACAAACGCACGTTTGACCTACTGTTCCTTGTCATCAACTTGATTCAGGGCACCATACTTAACCTCCTTTTACACAAGTCAACTGAATACAGTTGGAGTCCTGTAGCTCAGTGGTTAGAGCACTTGCTTTGCAAGCGAGAGACCCAGGTTCAATTCCCGGCAGGGTGAAACCTTGGACAAGTTTCCTTACTCCACATGCCTGATAATAATCCCTCAAAAAAAACAATAACAAATTGGTCATTTCAATCTACGACTATTTGTGGGACACTGCTGTGCACAATTGGCTGCCACATTTTGCCCACAAATATACAGTCAATCCACTTTAGTCTATTCTGTGAAGCGCTTTGAGTCGTCTAGAAGACATGAAAAGTGCTATATCAAATGCAAGGATTATTATTATAACACTCTCGACTCTCTACCCCCTCCTTGCTCCCTCCCTTCCCTCCCCTCACCCTGACCATTTCCCCCCTGCTCGGGTACCGACCCAAATGTCCAGCGCCTTGGGACGTCCTCCCGACGTGAAAGGCGCTCTATAAATGAAATCTTGTTGTTGTTGTATTATATAATACTAAATCTTGATCATATTACAAATGCCACCAGATTTAACTGCATAACACCACCAAACTATTCCGAAGCAGGCTTGTTTCCAATCACAGGGAACACTTTGCTAAAGTATTACAGCAACCACAATTGAATTACAACCCCTCCCCCCCCAACCCCAACTTCCCACCCCCCCCCACACACACACACTTTAGCAATTGTTGATCTTGTGAGTGCTATCACTTGGTGGAATCCAATTAGCAGTCAACAATATGCACACAAAGAGAGCTCTTAATATCGACACCCAGCAAAGCACTTACGAATTGAAGAAAAAAGGATATTGTTAACCTCCATATGCCAGAGCGTAAGAGCACAATTAGAAATTTCTTCAGGAGAAACCAGCTTGTGTATAATAAAGGATATACTTACTCTTTTCCTAAGATTGTACGTTAGGATAAGGTTTCGTGAAAAGGAATTGGAGAAGGCTGTATAGAATTCCAGAACCTTCTGCAAGGCATCTCTTTTGATAACGTGAAGGTCACAATATGTCAGGGCTCTGACGTTGACGCAGGACTGAGCGAGAGCATTTTCCTTCCAGAACACATCTCCAAAGACATCTCCTTTCCCTAGGCAAGTAAAGGAAATCAACATAAATAACTGTGTCAGACAACAACCTGGTCTGAGAAATTATATGGTCCTCTTGTTTTAAGCAATTCTGGAAGCATAGAACATAGAAATCTACAGCGCAGAAGGTGGCCCATCAGCCCATCAAGCCTGCACGAGCTCGCAGAACAAGGAGATCATTTCAATAGCACTGCCCCACCTTATCCCCAGGCCTTTTACCATAAGGAATATCCCTATATTTTACGCACAAAGCCAGTTTCAGACCATCAGTAGCACCTCCACTGAATGCTTTCTCTCCAAATCAGATCTCATTGGCAGTAAATAATGGCAGCGCATTCCTGGACTGGGTTCTACATGGTAACTTTCTGCAGCAGATAATGGGGCTTCAATTACACTGACTGCTTTCTGCAGCATCCTTGTTAGAATGGTAGAAAAATCCCCAAATTTACAAGCCAAAGTGTACAAGAAATTAAAGTTTATAATAATATAACTGACTAGACAAATATATATTAAAAAAATCTTGCATTTGATATAGGGCTTTCACATCTTCAAAACGCTTCACAGAATATACTGTAAAGTGAATAGTCTGTCTATTTGTGGGCAAAACGTGCTAGTCAATTGTGCTCAGCAGTGTCCCACAAACAGTCGTGGATTGAAGTGACTAATTTTATTAATGTTTTTTATTCTTGAGGGATTATATCCAGTGTAGAGAGTTTCCACTTGGTCTGAAACACTTATTGCCAAGTGCCTTGGGGCATCCTCCCGACAGGAAAGGCGCTATACAAATGTAATTTTGTTGTTGTTGGATCAACATTTTCTCTATTCTTGTAGCATTTTAAAGTATCAGCAATTTGTTAAAATTGTTGAATTCAGTCTTAGCTTTCAACTTTAATTTCTGCAGTTCTTAAAGTCACTTAAAGAAAAAATGTTAATAGCCTCAAGAAAATTTGTCATTTTAAAATAAAGTTCAGATTCATTTGAACTATCAAACAGGTTTTCATAAGAGACAAGCCAGGTTCAAATCATCCAGTCAGCATTGTAACTTCAATCAGAGTTTATTAAGTTAATTAAGTTACCACAGTTTAGTTAATTTCCAGCGCCCGCTTTTGTTGAAGCAAGGACATTGCTTGCTGATCGTTAATAGTTAACAACCTGTAATGAAACAGATCTGAAAACAGATATGAATTTTCCAACGGTGCAATAACAAGTTCTCCCATGATCTCACTGTTTTCAACAATAATCTGTTCCATGACGCAAATAATTATTTTACAGACTCCAAAGGGGTCCAAAATGCAAGTTTGGCTAATAGGTTGTGGGATAACATGCAAGAATTAACCAATGAAAAGGATTACAGAGTTGCATGTATCCTTTTTGGTGGAGATTAATTCAATAATTAAGGGCAACCGTAAGCACTTGATTACCTTTAGCCCTTGAGCTATTAGCCCAACCCACACTTTTGAGCCCATTCTCTTCATGCGGATTCTCAGTGAATAAGCTTGTCTATGAAATCTTCATAGAATTCCCTCTCCCCCCATTCTAAATTAACAGCCAAACCATTCACTGAATTGTGATCATCAAATTCAGATTATTCTTTTCAGGATGAGACTGTAATAGTTAATTCATCCTCTTTTTATACTTTGCAGCTGCTAAGAGCAGTAGAGCAACATGCGGAATCTCTGTTGGTAGCTACAATAATGTCCTTTGTAGAGCTGTTTGCTTAGCAGAGCTCAAACTGGAATGAGCACAGAGTACTGAGGTTGAGTTCCAGGGCCATATGTCTGAGGATTTATGGAACATGGCCAGAATGTAAATTCTAGTGGAGAATGATAGCATTCTGTCCAAAGGGTTGCCACAATTCCCAGTCGCTCAATCTGTGCATTTATAATCATTGGATATCTGTGCTATCACATTTGGAGTGCAAAGATCATGCACAGACACCTCTAGGATGAGCAATGGGAATAAACAGGCCAATATTGTTCCAGGATTTGGATATAATTAGCCACACCTGAAGGAGGTATTATTCTCAGTAGAAATGTAAAATTCAATATTTTGCAACAAACCAGCCTCCTTCTTCTTTCATATTTTATCAAAGGTTTGGGATCACGAGAAATTTAAAATGCAGCTGCCTTAACATCTTACTACAATCGTATGATAAAAGAACCTTGCAGGTATAACTGGTTTACAATTTTAATCTCTTTTTATTGCTTTGAATATCATAAAAGATACATGTGAGCTAAATATTTTGTTTTTTTGTACAACATCCTGAGGTCAAACACTGAATGGCCTTAGGTTAATGCAATTCATTCAGAATGAACAATCTTCCATTACTTCTATCATACCATATGGAGTTTCCTTGCAGCTTCACCATTGAATTACACTTAGTGAAGGCATACAACAACAATAACAACAAAATTACATTTGTAAAGTGCCATTCACATCGGGAGGATGTCCCCGACAATGCAGGGAGGACGTGCACTTGCTTTTCAGTACTGGAAAATTCTTAGATTCGTGGTTAGAATCATCGCTTCCTCCTAAATTCAGTTTAATCTATCACAATAAAGCCAAAATTTCTAATATAGAGGTCAACCTAATTGATAGCATTCTCGACTCTGAGTCAGAATGTTGTAGGTTCAAGCACTGTACAGGGACTTTGAACTCATAGTCTAGGCTTGACACTCCAATGCAGTGCTAAGGGGAGTGCTGCATTGTTGGAGTTGCTGCCTTTGGATGAGACATCAAGCCAAGGCCCTGTCTGTTCAGGTGAAAGTTAAATATCCAATGGCATTACTGTATTTAAAAAGAAAGTTTTTTTTCTGGTGTCCTGGCCAACAGTCCCCCAGATAAAACTGATCATTCATTTCATAGCTTTATAGCAACTTAGTTGGGTAAAAATTGGCTGCCGTGTTTCCCTACAAAATACACAAACTCTACAAATGCAAGAAATAATAATACTTGCATTTGATATAGTGCCATTCACGTCAAGGGGATGTCTCGAAGCAGTTCACAGGATATTTTTTAAGAATGTGTTTTGTGAGTGAATACGGAAACCAACTTGCGAACAGCAATGTCCCACAAACAGCCATGGAGTGAATGATTAATCTTATTTGGGGGATTGTTGTTGACCAGGACACCGGGAGAAACTCCTTCTCTTTTCAAAAAGTGCTATGGGATCTTTAGTCCACCTGAACACGCAGACAGGAACTCAGTTTAACTCCTCATCTGAAGGACAAGACATTATTATTATTTTATATTAGAATTGGACTGAATTGAAATTGTTCAAATGCAGGAAAAGTACTTTTAATGTTACAATTGAAGCTTCTTAATTCCTATTAATTGAAGAGTCATTACGAGGACACCAATGAATCCAACATTTAATTGTTTGTTGAAGCTCGCCATACTGAGTAGGTGAAGTGATTCCAAGGGACAAGAGAAAGCTCAGCGTCCAACCTTGATACGAAGAAGGGACCATCGTCTATATCAACCAGCTGGAAACTGTAACCAGGTTACAGTAATGCAATAAACTGGCTGCTAATGTAGCTAAACTTCTTCTGAAAAAGTAATTCCTAAAGGAACAGCTCTAGTCACCAATTTAACACTGGCATTTCTCAAACAAGGTTACATTTTAGTCACAAAGTTGGTGGAGGGAGAAGCCACAGAAGTAAGGTTGCAGGAGATTACAGAAGTGGAGTCCTGTAGCTCAGTGGTTTGAGCACTCGCTTTGCAAGCGGGAGACCTGAGTTCAATTCCAGGCAGGGCGAAACCTTGGGCAAGTTTTCTTACTCCACACGCCTAATAATAATCCCTCCAAAAACCAAAAACAATAATAAATTGGTCATTTTCAATCTACGACTGTTTGTGGGACATTGCTGTGCGCAATTGGCTGCCGCGTTCGCCCACAAATATACAGTCAATTCACTTTACAGTGTGTTCTGTGAAGCGCTTTGGGACGTCCTCCCGACGTGAAAAGCGCTATATCAAATGCAAGGATTATTATTATTATTATTATTACAGTGGGGCACAGCCATGGAGGCATTTGAAGGTGAGGAATGAGGATCTGAACATCGATCATAATAATAAATAATAATAATCCTTGTATTTTATATATTTTATCACGTCTTCAAGACGTCTCAAAGTGCTTCACAGAATATACTGTAAAGTGAATTGACTGTATATTTTGTGGGCGAAATGCGGCAGCCAATTGCACACAGCAGTGTCCCACAAACAGTCATGGATTGAGTGACCAAAGTATTATTATTAATGTCAATGTAACTGAAGCCACACGATCAGCTTAGGAATTGGGAGCCAAGGAAGCCAGGCAAGATGAAGGGTGATGGGGTCAGCGAACCTAGTACAGAAGACAATGCGGGTGCAGAGTGCTCAGTGATCCGGGTGGTTTGTGGAGAGTGGAGCTGGGGAGGCTGGTGAGCTAGGCACTGAAGAAGTCAAGTGTGGAGGTGCCATGGATAACACAAAAACAATGCAAACGTAAAAGTACTCATGGAATTAATGTAACCCCCTCCATACACCCTACTCAAACCAGATATGGTTTTGATTTTGGAATTAAAGTAAGTGTACAGGGGCTCGTGGTAGGTGGAGAACACAGATTTAATCTCCTCAATCCCTGCCATGATGCAACGCAAGCATAGGCAGGATGTTTATCCAGTGAGCACAGGCAAGGGAGAGGCAGGGATAGCTAGAAGAGGTGTCACCTCAAGGCCTCTCTGGGTTTACTCTGACTGACATCTGCCTGAGAGTAATAATGACACAAGACCTGGAGCAGACTAACTACCTCCCCCCCACCTCCCCAACACATTGTTAACAGATTCTGGAAAAATGATAAAAAAAAGAAGAAATTGACATCCTCTTTGGTCACAGAATTACTAGGAAAAACTTAGCAGCTAAACAATGGAGGGTTACTGGAAGACTAACAGCACTCAGTAGCTGTAACTTGCCTGTCCTTCATGTTTATCACATCAGATTTACATTTGTCTGTGTGCTTTTG